GTCCAAATATGACAAATGATACATCATTGGAAAGCTCTTGTGCTCTACTTTTGGAATCTGCAAAAAATTTACAAATTTGCAAAAATTGAATTTTTTATCGCAAAATCCAGTTATGTAGTAAAAATGTTTGCAAAAAAAACGTTGTCCAAAAAATAAAAAATTATACATTTTTGAAAAGCCCTTGACCATGCCATTTTAAATATGCAAAATTTTAAATAACCTGATTTTTAATTAAGAAAAACTAAAAATGTGCAAATTTCTTTTGACAGGTTGTTTGCAAAAAAATTGCAATTTTTTTTCGCAAAACTTGTGCAATTCGTTTCCTTATGTCAAAGGCTTTCCAAAAAGCTAAATTTTATCAAAATCTGACAAGTGGAAGTGGGTCAAAACAAAGATTTAGTTTGTTACAAGAAAAAGCAGTCATTCAGGCAGTGTGCCTGAGGACTCAGGCAGTTAGTATTAAAGCCCGGTTTTAGGCCTAAACGGAGGGCTTTGGGTATGAAGGAAAAGTCAGAAAATTTAAGCAGCCTCAGACCAATACTTTTAAGTTATGTAAAAAAAAACTACCCCGATGTTACCCATCGGGTAACTATCCCGATGCAGAGATGTAGTAATTAGAACATTTATGTTTGTGGGATAAACTCAGTTCTTTTACGAAAAAAATGAATATATATCAAATCAATGACCTAAACATTTCATGAATTTAACTTGAAAGAACTCCGAACTCAATTACATCTTATAGTCTTAAGTCTTGATTTCTTGAATTGTTTTAAAGGACTAAAAGCAAAATTTCAAGTGACCAGCTCTATGCAAAGATTGCAATGCCTGAATCACAACACGGTATCTTTTAATAGTGACTTGCGATTTTCATCTGCAAGAAAGCATTTTAGAATTGTCAGAATTAATCACTTTTAAACCTAGAAAAAAGCAAAATCTTTCGAAATATTGTTAAGATAAAATTTCCAAGGGTACCATTGTGAATAGGTGTCGTAAACGCCTACTTCATAACAATTTCTCGAGCCAGTATCTATCCAGGTACAGTTCAGTTTCACCTAGCTTTTAATGTTTAAACCTGGATACAATCTCGTAAGCTATTGATATCTATCAGATGCTTGTAACTATCAATGCCAAATCAAAAGTTACGATCCTGTTAGCTATCAGTTTCAATAGGGACACTAGCAATCAATTGATCAATGTCTCAAACAGGACACGATCCACAGGGGCTACAATCCGGTGAATTAGCAATTCCACTACCACTGGGTGTGATTTCGTTTGGGATGTCAACCGGACAATAGCGGTCTATTCATCAATGTCTTAAACATGACATGATCCACACAGCTATAATTCCATGAACTATCAACTCCACTACCATTGGGCGCGATCTTGGTTGCTATGTCAACTGAAAAATTGCAATCTATTGATCAATGTCTCAAACAGGACACACTCCACACGAATACAATCTCGTAAACTATCCACCCCACTACCACTGGGTGCGATCTTGTTTGCTATTATTGTATATGAATAAAAATCAATAAAGCAATGCACTGAGTTTCTCAAATATTCTACGAGTCGGTTTTTTTTACGATATATTTATATACAAAAGATACAAAAAATACAAACTTTAAATCGAACGATACTTATACAAACTAAATATTATGAATCAAATCAGTTTCATCAAATAGGGGAATTCTTCAAGGGAACCTAACAAATAGGGAGCTGGTCTTCAACTGCCTTTTTTCCCTCTATTTCGCTCCACCCTAGGTTCGCATTCTACCCCACGCCCCGTGAGCTGGCCGGCCAGCCCACCAGCTCCCGGGTTCGGAGATAACGGATTTCTCCGCGTGGCTTGGGTTAAATATAGAAACCAAACATAAACAAGAAAACCCGTTAAACATCAAAAAGGGGGGGGGGAGGCAAAATGGGGTTGATTGCGAACGAAGGGTAAAAATAATGACAAACAAAATGCTATTTACAGTCGCAGGAAAGATCAAAACATCATTTTCCTGCTACACTATGTCAATTAGACAATATCGATCTATTGATCAATTTCTCATGCAAGACACTATCTCAACTCACATTTTTTAACAAGAACCATAATTACTCTCAACACCATAATCAACACGGAGTTTTGGATCAACTAAGGTATATATCTTAAGTTTAGATTAGGATTGGGTCGTTAACAGCGTAATTACAAGATATGTGCTGATTTATATAGCGTAGTTAAGGAATCGGAATATGGGTATGACGTAGCTATATATATCTACGTACATTGAATGGGATTAATGTACATATTTATAAGATTAGCGAGAATAGATATCACGTAGTTAAGCTATCTCCACACATGTTTATAACGTAATTTAAGTTGAATGTACGTATTTGGAAGATTAACATGGATAGATGTAAACGTATAGTTAATCCAGTCATAATGAATGTTTTAATAATGTTACTTAGCTCATGTTTATCTAGGTATAGGTACATATATGGGGATGGCTACAATATTTGCTAAGGTCCCTTACTTCCGGTAAAATAAGGTTCTTTTAAATCGCGGCCTCTTTAAATTTTTCCAAATTGTCTGGACCCAAATTTATAGGAAACCTAACTGACCTGAGGACAATCTAATAGATTTAATTAAATTTTTAGTGTTGGGAAAATACAGATTTGCAGGGTTGAATTTGAATTTTAGTTTGCTAAGTGTAGCTGATCTAAAATAAGATTATAGCACAAATTATTGTTAACAACTTTTATTTCAATGATTCATTTTTTGAATTTTTTTCTGAAACGTTTTAAAATAAGGCCATATTTGTATCAGACCTTCTCAGATAAAAAGAAAGGAACTGAATACTTGCCAAAAACATTAATTTTCTAATCTCTATATCTTTGCAATTAATTATGTAAACCTTTTAAATTTCAAACTACCACTAATTCATCTTTAGGAATTAGTAATATGAAACATCAAAGGTCAATCAGACTGCAAAGATATAAAGATTAGAAAAATTGATTTTGTGACTTATGTTCGAGTTCTTTTCTCCAAACTTACGCAACCTCTAATGGAAAAACATTCTGAATATTTTTCTAAAACCTTGATTTTGGTTTGGAAATAATCTAAATTAAAACTTTTTTAATGATTCAATATGATTCAAACATTTAACTGTTATATTGCTTGGAATTATTAATTATGCTTGTCTGAATATGGATTTTTATTTGACTGCTGAGGGGAAGGAAGAGAGGGGGGAGACAACAAGAAAGGGGGCTGGGGCTGGTAATGGGAAATTTCGTTTGATGTTATATAAATGATGAAGTATGGGGTTTGAAGGGAAATTCTCGTAAAAGCTGGGAAAAGTAATAGTAAACTCAGCTGACTGAATATAACACATATTCTATACTAGCAGGAAATGCATCAAATGTTAAGACCGGGTCCACTTAAAAGTGTCGCAACACCTTAGCCTTTAGTTATACATCAACACTCCAATTATAGTTGAAAGTACATTTTTAAATTGTATCGCACTTGCTTCTAGCTTCAGTTCAGATAAAGGTACTTTGCAAAATACTCATCAACTCTTGCGTGAAAGCATGCTCGTATACCAAGTTAACAGTTCGGAAGTACCCGGCGTTTCCCGTGCTCACCATTCTTCACTTTTGCAATGTCCTATCCCATCAGACTTCAGTTTTTTCAATTGCCTGTGCCCATCAGGCTTCAGTTTATTTTAATTGCCTGTGCGGTATCCCCATCAGGGTTCAGTTTTTTCAATTGCCTGTGCAGTGTGCAGTGTGCCCATCAGGCTTCAGTTTTTTGCAATTGCCTATGCCCATTAGGCTTTTGTTTGTGCAATTGCCTATTCCCATCAGGCTTTAGTTTGTGCAAATGCCTATGTCCATCAGGCTTTAGTTTGTGCAATTGCCTATAATCATCAGGCTTTAGTTTTTCAATTGCCTATGCCTATCAAACTTCTTTTTTTTGCAATTGCCTATATTCATCAGGATTTAGTTTGTGCAATTGCCTGTGCCCTGCTGCAGTCCTCAGGTTATAGATTTGTTGGACGCCTGTTATACCGAATAGTTTTCCTTCACCTCTCAGTGTTGTTTATTTTTCACTCCGCAGAAAATAACCTCCTGTCACTCTAACAGCCATTTCAAGGGATATGCAACCTCAGCTGGGAAATTAAGAATGGGATACCTTGCATCCCTACTGCTTAATCCGAAAATCCAATGTGGACACTTAATTTCTTGCTTAATCCACTCTTTTTGAATATAGTACAGAAAAACCAAAAACCGGTTTTTCAAAATTAGAATGTCCCTCCCATTTCTTATATTAATCTCAAATTGGCGCGCTATATATTTCAAATTTCCCGGCTTCTGATATACGACTCTGATTGGTTGAAATTTATACACTTTTCAGGATAGAATTACAAGATTAGGTTAGTCTCGAGATTAAGAAAAAGAGAGGATCAAGCATTGATCTCGATATTGACCATTCTAAAGTTCCCAGCTCAGTTTTTTCTCACCCACATTCACATTTTTATTTTTGGTACAACTCTCTAGTATTGTTAGGGTTTGCCCGGTTAAACCTAAAATACATACAGAGATTCTTTCGACGCTCTGCTTTATATATAAGATATGGAGAAGATATGGAGCTCAGGAGGTTAAAGATGAGTGGAGGATTTGAGGCTAAAGATGAGTGGAGGATTTGAGGATAAAGACAAGTTAAGGACTTGAGGATAAAGATGAGTGGAGGATATGAGAATAAAGATGAGTGGAGGATTTGAGGATAAAGACAAGTTAAGGACTTGAGGATAAAGATAAGTGGAGGATATGAGAATAAAGATGAGTGGAGGATATGAGGATAAAGATGAGTGAAGGATGAGGATAAAGATGAGTGGAGGATATGAGAATAAAGATGAGTGAAGGATGAGGATAAAGATGAGTGGAGGATATGAGGATAAAGATGAGTGGAAGATGAGAATAAAGATGAGTGAAGGATGAGGATAAAGATGAGTGGAGGATTAAGATGAGTGGAGGACTTGAGGATAAAGATGAGTGAAGGACTTGAGGATAAAGATGAGTGGAGGACTTGAGGATAAAGATGAGTTGAGGATATGAGGATAAAGATGAGTGGAGGATATGAGTATAAAGATATGTGGAGGACTTGAGGATGAAGATGAGTGGAGGACGTGAGGATAAAGATGAGTGGAGGATATGAGGATAAAGATGAGTGGAGGACTTGAGAATGAAGATGAGTGGAGGACTTGAGGATAAAGATGAGTGGATGATATGAGGATACAGATGAGTGGAGGACTTGAGGATGAAGATGAGTGGAGGACTTGAGGATAAAGATGAGTGGATGATATGAGGATACAGATGAGTAGAGGATATGAGGATAAAGATGAGTGGAGGATGAGGATAAAGATGAGTGGAGGATGATGATAAAGATGAGTGGAGGATGAGAATAAAGATGAGTAGATGATATGAGGATAAAGATGAGTGGAGGATTTAAGAATATAGATGAGTGGAGGATATGAGGATAAAGATGAGTGGAGGATATGAGGATAAAGATGAGTGAAGGATGAGGATAAAAATGAGTGGAGGATATGAGAATAAAGATGAGTGAAGGATGAGGATAAAGATGAGCGGAGGATATGAGAATAAAGATGAGTGAAGGATGAGGATAAAGATGAGTGGAGGATATGAGGATAAAGATGAGTGGAAGATGAGGATAAAGATGAGTGGAGGATATGAGAATAAAGATGAGTGAAGGATGAGGATAAAGATGAGTGGAGGATATGAGGATAAAGATGAGTGGAGGACTTGAGAATAAAGATGAGTGAAGGATTTGAGAATAAAGATGAGTGGAGGATATGAGGATAAAGATGAGTAAAGGATATGAGGATAAAGATCAATAGAGGATTTGAGGATAAAAATGAGTGGAGCACTTGAGGATAAAGATGAGTGGAGGACTTGAGGATAAAGATGAGTGGAGGACTTGAGGATAAAGATGAGGGAGGACTTGAGGATAAAGATGAGTGGAGGACTTGAGGATAAAGATAAGTGGAGGACTTGAGGATAAAGATGAGTGGAGGACTTGAGGATAAAGATGAGTGGAGGATATGAGGATAAAGATGAGTGGAGGATATGAGGATAAAGATGTGTGGAGGACTTGAGGATGAAGATGAGTGGAGGACTTGAGGATAAAGATGAGTGGAGGATATGAGGATAAAGATGAGTGGAGGACTTGAGGATGAAGATGAGTGGAGGACTTGAGGATAAAGATGAGTGGATGATATGAGGATA